CCCCCAGGTAGACCTAGACCTGAGCTCTGGAAGAGTCCATTTTTAAAAAAAAAAAAAAAAAAACCAACACCACTTTATTCTAAAAAAAAAAAAAAACAACAAAACCCCACTTTATTTACATAAATTACAAAAAAAAAAAAATCACACTCTTGCTCACAGAAAAAAATCTACTCTTAAAAACTTGGTTGGGCTCAAATACCTGGGTCCTGTTACTCGCCCTCAGCCCCTGCCGGACCCCCCTGGGCTCTGCAGGGGCTGCGGGTGTTCACCCCCGCTCCTGCCCTGTCTCCCACAAAGGGGTGAGAAGCACTACGTACAGTGAGGGGGGCGATGGAGGGGGCTTTGGCCCAGCCCTGCAGCACTCGGCAGCTTTCCCGGGGCCAAAAACGAGGAGGAAAAGGTGAAACTGTGCAAAGGGCCCCGGGGGGGGGGTGCTCCACTGGCCCGGGGAGGAGGGAGGTGGGGTACGGCTTTGCACAGGGGAGGACGTGAAAGGCCCTGCACCAGGAAAGCGGGGTGGGCGATAGGGCGAGGGCAGCGTGTGCCGGCACAGGGCTCGGTGTGGAGGGAGCAGGAGGTGCAGCGTGGCTCAGTGCAAGCGAAAAGTGACCTGGTGTGGCTTGGCAAGAGGGAGTCGGGTTGTGCACCGCGGCTTGGCGTGAGGGACGGGGGACTTGCACCACAGCTGGTGCAGGGGATGGGGAACGTGCACCACAGCTCAGTTCAAGGGCCGGGGGCTGTGTACCGCGGCTCAGTGCAAGGGAAGGGGGGGACATTCACCATGGCTCAGGGCAGGGGATGGGGGGGGATGACGTGCACCTCAGCCCGATGCAAGGGACAGGGGGACTGGGACCATGGCTTGGTGCAAGGGACAGGGGGACGTGTACCAGGGCTCAGCGCGGGGGATGGGGGAATGCGCACAATGGCTCGGTGCAGGTGACACAGGGGACGTGCACCACGGCTCGGTGCAAAGGACAGGGGGGTGTGCACCACAGCTCAGTGCAAGAGACGGGGGGACATGCACTGTGGCTCAGTGCAGGTGACGGGGGGGTCGTGCACCATGGCTCAGTTCAAGGGACTGGGGATGTTCACCATGGCTCAGTGCAAGGGACTGGGGGGGATGTTCACCATGGCTCGGTGCAGGGACCAGGGGTCGTGCACCAGGGCTCAGTGCAGGGGACAAGGGATGTGTAACGTGGCTCAGCGCGAGGGAAGTGTGACACGTACCATCACCCAGCACGTGGGACGTGTAGCTCGTGCTGGGGTGGGGGCCGAGACTCCCAGCCGCCTCTGGCCCCTGAGCGGGCCGTGCCGCGGGCACTGCTCTCCCTGGGGAGGGAGGTGAGGTGCAGTGCAGCTGCAGGCAGGAGCAGCGGCACCACGGCCTGGCCCCCCCCGTCCTTCACAAGGACGACGTCGTGGAGTCCACCACCTCACGGCCGTTGCACACCGTGGGCACGTACTGCGAGGCTGAGCCTGGCCGGGAAGGCAGCAGTCAGGGGCAGGTTGGGGTCTGGCAGCAGCGCCCCCCCCAGCGCATCCCACTGCGGTGGGCGATGGGTGCCCAGGGAACTGCATCCCCCAGGGCTGGGGCGGAGGGGGCCAAGGGCAGCTGTTTCCCCCGCCCTGGGTTGCTGACAGGGGCCCGGGGCAGCTGCATCTGCTGGGGCTGGGGTGGAGGGTGCCCAAGGGTGGCCGTGTACCCCCGGGGGGACGACACCGGGAGTGGTACCGCCAGCAGACGGTGCTGCAGCCCTGGGGCTCACAGCCATGTGAGACGGGGGAGATGAGGGATTGGGACAGAGCCAGGGATGAGCCATAGGGGACACGGCATCCTCTATCCCCCTGTTTGCAGCCATGCCCTACCCTGCACCCCAACTTCCTTCAGGGGCCTGTGCTGGGGTGCCCCCATCTCCCTACTGGGAAGGGAGTGCTGCCCCCCAGCCCTTCCCCAGCCCCTCTGCACTCACCGTGGGACTGGCTGGAGCTGGCGGCCGCCACACTGAACCGAGTGGTGCCCACGCGGTGGCTGGCCACATTCTTCTGGGGCTGGAAGAGTATGATGTGGAGCTTGGGGGTGAAGAGGCAGCCAAGGACCACGGTGCCGCTGAGGCTCACTGAGATGCACATGGTGGTGGTCTGGACCTGGAGACAGGGGTGGGCGTCAGGTGCTCCTGCCACCAACCCTCTGCCCCGAGTGGGGCAGGATGAAGCCCTCGCTGTGGCACCAGTCAGCCCCCACCGGGCAGAGGCTGCTGCCTGCACCCCACAGGCACATCCCACCCCACACCAGGTCCCTCCATCAGGGTGGACCCACTGGAGACCCACAGGCAGAGGATGGGCACTGCCCTGATGGGGACACGCTGCTCCTGTAAAGGGGGTGCACCCTGAGCAGCACCCCCACTCAGACTTGCCAGCACCCCTCACCCCAGTGCCCGTTCCCACCAGGGGATGCAGGTCCTCTCCAGAAGCCCCCGACTGCAGCCACCCCCACGCAGTCCTCCAGGCCTGGCAAGAACATGGCTGGGCACCTTGCTGGGGGGATTGAGTTGCTGCAGGGTGCACCCCATGCTCCCCCATCCCCAGCACTGCTTGGCTCCCCAGGGACCAGGCTGGCCCTGGGGTTGGCATTCACGCCTTGGTTGTGGGGGTGGGGAGGGCATGTCTCATGCCTTCGCGTTGCGAGGCTGAAGGATGGCAATCACTCCTCCGCGGTCAGGTCAAGGGGGTCTCTGGAGGTCTCAGGGACATTTCCCATCCTCTTCCT